GGAGATACACCATTCTGTGTCTCTCAGCGCTGCCCGATGGGATTCGCCCAGTTACCTCCGAATCCCTCGAATCCGACTCTGCAACTTCGGGCCGGATGACCAAGGAGGAATTCGAAGCTGTCGTCGACAGCGTCAGAACTGCGATCGAGCTGGGTGTACACCCGAAGATGATATCGCAGGGTAGCTCGGGAAGTTATTTTGCAAGAAACAGCCAGGGAAAGGTGGTGGGTGTTTTCAAACCAAAAGACGAAGAACCCTACGCATCACGAAATCCCAAGTGGACCAAATGGATACACAGAAATTTGTTCCCCTGCTTTTTTGGTCGGGCCTGTTTAATTCCTAATTTATCGTACGTCTCCGAAGCCGCCGCCTACGTCCTTGATACCCGCCTGAAAACCAATCTTGTCCCCTACACTGATATCGTTTATCTATCGTCGAAATCTTTTTACTACGACTTTTGGGATCGCCGGAGTGCGTGGGGTGGTAGAAAGCAGTTGCCGGCGAAAGTTGGAAGCTTTCAAGTCTTCCTGAAGGGCTACAAAGATGCTAATATATTTCTCCGTGAGCATCCTTGGCCTGACCAACATAACTCCGGTTTCTCTGCGGGAGATGTGCCACGGAAGAAGAGGCGTCCGTGGAATGAGGCATGTCGACCGTCCGGCATCCAGTCTGATGACGAGGACGAATACGAAGAGCGCCAAATTTCCCCATCTCCTTCAGTAGAAGAATCCCCTCATCACCGTTTCTATTGGACCGAAAACCTCAAGCAAGCCTTCCGCGAGGAGCTGGAAAAACTGGTTATCCTGGACTATATCATGCGGAATACGGATCGTGGATTGGACAATTGGATGATAAAAATCGATTGGTACACTGAGAATGTTTCTATCGTCGCTGAGCCGCCCAAGGTAAACGGTACTACCAATTCAGATGAGGACGAACATTCGCCTCCTCCCCAACCAGTTTCTATAAACTCGGATCGTTTAGGCTCAGACATTCAGCAATATCGGCGCCAGGAAAGTATGGTTGCTGTTAGCCGGTCAGGGACGCCGTCAAATGCACCGGAACTGCCACATGCCACTATATCCATTGGAGCTATCGATAATAGCTTATCGTGGCCCTGGAAGCATCCCGATGCTGTAAGTTTTAATTCTGCCAGTGATTTGTCCCAGTTTTAATCGCATGTTTTTAATGGTTTAATGTTATAAAACAGTGGCGGAGTTTCCCCTTTGGTTGGCTTTTCCTTCCTGTGTCTCTCATCGGTCAGCCTTTCTCGCGGAAAACACGAGATCATTTCTTACCCCTCCTTACTTCTACCGCTTGGTGGAGCGGAACACAAACTTCTCTACGGCGGGTCTTCAGTCAAGATTCCGATTTTCAAGAGAGCATGTTTGCGCGACAAATAGCAGTTATGAAGGGCCAAGCTTGGAATGTGGTTGAGACACTTAAACAACCAGACCATGGACCTCTGGAGCTTACACGCAGAACGCGAGTATGCGTCTGGGATGACCTAGTCGACATCCCCATTGCCATCCCACTCCGCGTGCCCTCTACCGAAATGCACAAACGACGCGCGCTAGATCGTGAGCAGGAGGAAATGGATATCAGCACGGCCATATCCTCAGACTCCGGCGCTCATCGCGATCTCTTAAACCTAGGCTCACCACCACACGAACTACCAAACCCTAATAGATTCGCGTTGTCTCGCGATGGCAAAATCCCCATAGGCACCGGTGGCAGAAGTGAAGTTTCAGGCAGCCCGACTTCGCTCGGTGATCTCAGCTACGCCAACTTCGACGGGATCGGAGAAGACGAGGACAGGGACCTTGCAGCGAGCTGGGCCACTGTGCCAGCACCCGCTACTGCATCGAGCCGATCGCGGCCCAAGTTAGCTACTGATTCGAAACAGGCGGCACACAGAAAGAATGCCGCGTCCATTGCTCACCGGCGGGGCAGCGTTTCGTTTATGTTCGGAGGCGATGACCTTGAAGGCGATCTTGGTTACGCAGCAGCGGAGGAGATGGAAGGCAATGAGCGCAAGGTGATTGTCGAGAGACTCGAGGCTGTCAAGAGCAAAAACCCCGTTTTCACTTGGTGCTGAGCGGGACAAAATCAACTAATCACTCCATCCTTGCTTCGATTTATCTCTGTATCTCTTTATTTGCTTGATGATTAAGGATCGTTTGTATTTTACGTATCTGGTTCGGCACCCCCCCTCTCCAGGGCTGGTTTTTCTTCTCCCGTGATATTACCTGCTTTTACTTCGCATTTCCCGTTTGATGTTTTGTCATCCAGGTCAAGGATAACTATATAATTGGGGCCATGGCATGAGCATAAGCATGTGGAGTTAAATTTAGCGTTGTTGACATGTTCCTTTTACCCTTTCCGTTTGCTTTTCTCATTCCCTTGATTACAGGGTAGATTGCCATTCCTAGGAGGCAGTTAGTATAAAGTTTCCTTTGTACAGTACCACCACATCGCCGATGCCTGGGATTTTGTGGAATTTTCCGGGTGGATGTCCCAATGTCATCGAGTTATATATAGATTTTACTTCCCGATTTGCTCTCCAAAGATAAACTTTCGCGAGCTAAGCCTATCTAGTCCAGTCACATGCCAGCCAGCTTATCTTATCGGCTCGCGCCGTCTCGACTCCTTCCTCGATGCGTCATTCCGCTGCTCTCAGTCCAACTCCCTCAATCGCCTCTTGCATCTTCGCATGGTGTGCTGGCCGGGCTGAGCAGTGAATGGACTGGCAGACACACTTCGTACACAGCACCGCTGGCAGGATTGAAGCGGTACACGACACACTACGCGAGCGATTACCTCATAACAACTCGCAGTGTATCTAATGCTTCTCACCTCGGTGGAGCCTCGAACTCATCTTGAGTCTAACTCCCCTTCACCCAGCTTTCATACCCTTCTTGTCTCCTTGCTATCACCTGCGGATGCGTCCCCGATATGAATGGGTTACAACTAATATCTTAAAAGACTTTTTTCTCTATTTTCCTTTTTGATATTTTTAAACTGATAGATTTCATGTCGTTGCGAAATCATTCTGGACCTTGTAATTTCTCTTAAGACACGATATCAAAGGGAAACACACCCCTTTGAGCCACTATGAATTCGTCTGCGGCAGTTTTGCTGGACCCCAAAGCTTTTAAAAGGCAGGCGGCGACAGGTATGTTTTGATGTTTGCTTTAAACTGAAAAACTCCACTCGACAACCTTCTATCCCCAGCAAACTATAAACACCTTTATTTTGTTGTATTTTATTCACAGCATATAACGTCCCCTTGACTCTCCAATCATCCTGTATCTGTTCCATCCTCATTTTACCTTCCCGGACCATCAGGTTCAAGCTCTAGTACTCCCAGACCCCCAGGGGCGCCCTCGGGAACCTCCTTCGATCCTAGCATGTTATTGAGTCCTCGAAGCTTGAAAGCGCCTAAGCCACGCACAAGCGCCAGTGCACCGGTATCTCAAACGCCAACCCCTCTGCAGCTCAGCAGGAATAGCAACAGCTATCCTTCGTCAGATGGTAACGTGAGCGATTCTCAAAGCGAAAAGACGGCTTCGACACATGGATACGAAACGACTCGGTTTGGCCGTCATAGAAATATGATTGAAAATATGTATGGAGTTGAAGAGCGTGGAGTTCACCCGCAGAAACGGATAAAGCGCCACATGAACCAAAATGCTGGTAGTAGTTCGGATCAGAGGTTCCCCTCCAGCCCTGGACGGGGTCTAGCGGAATACATGAAGGAACGTTCCGAAACCAGCACACCATCGCTGTCTGAAGTGGCCACGATAGATCTTACAATAGGTAACTAGCTCCAGTGCATCCCGCGATGGGCTATATTTGTCCGCTAACAAAGTTTCCCAGATGATGATCAGAATGAGGATGATGTGGTTTTCCTTGGTAATAAAGATTTGGGAATGGAAGAAGTTTGCTACGGTAGAATTGAAGGTGCGATGGTCTACGCTCACCAAGTCCCTCGTCCAGTGAAGTCCGCTTTTGGAGCGACCTCGTCCGATTGGCCCTCCATTCGATGTCAACTTCTACGCACTCGCGGCCCAGATACTAGGATTGATGTTGCTGATCCATTGCAAAATGTATTTGGGATCATTGACCATCGTGTTGCGGCTGCTTTAGTTCCACTTCTTGACTCGACAGTCATCAAAATACGAACTCAAGCTCGCCTCGATGTCCGCAAGAAGAAGGAAAATGAATGGCCAGGGCAACCTTGTTCGGAGGTATATCGCGTGGCTATAAACCTCTATGGGCCTAGGAAGATGGCTGACGGAATTGGGAGGCATCTTGGCCAGAAGAATGTTTGGCTAGGGACACCCAATTTCGGTTGAAGCGGGCATTTCGACCTATAACCCCCATGCAGAGCAGGCTGTCTTGTTCAAGTGGCGAGTACCACAAATCGACTTGCGGTTCAATCGGAAACACGGACAGCTGAAGAAATTAACAGCGCCGTCACGAATATGTTCGATCAGTTGACCAGCGCGGAAAATATCCCGGAAATGGAGCCACCTCCGTCGATAAAGACTCCGCTACTTTCACATCAGAAACAAGCACTGTGGTATATGCTAGATAAAGAAAAACCCCGAAAGTTTGGTGAGAAGGAGGAGGAAAACAATTCGTTATGGAGAGTCCATTACCAGCCAAACGGCCAAAAATGCTATCGCGACATTGTCAGTGGTGTTACTTTGCCCGAAGAACCCCCCCAGGTTTATGGAGGGTTATTGGCCGATATGATGGGTCTGGGGAAGACGTTGAGTATCCTATCGCTTGTCATATCCACACATCTCGAGTCATTGGAGTGGGTGTTGCAGAAAGTTGACAAGGGATTGTTGAACAATCCTGGAGCACGGAATGTGAAAAGCACCCTTTTGGTTTGCCCCTTAAGCGCAGTAGCGAACTGGGTTGGCCAGATCGAGGAACATTTGGAGGAGGATGCTCTTTCATATTATGTCTTTCACGGCCCCACGAGAACAGAGGACGTAGTTGAATTATCTAAGTACGACCTCATCATCACTACCTACAGCACAATACTCAGTGAGCTCTCTGGCAAAAGTTCGAAGCGAGGAACCAGCCCACTCACGCGCATGAACCTGTTCCGTATCGTTCTCGATGAAGCACACGCTATCAGAGAACAAAGCACGGCCCAATCCCAGGCTATATTTTCGTTAGCTTCCATGCGCCGTTGGTCAGTGACCGGAACACCGATCCAGAACAGACTTGAAGACCTAGCATCTGTCACAAGGTTTTTACAGCTCCACCCGTACGTAGAGAAATCTCAGTTTTCTGCCTACATTATCGCACCATTTAAGAGTGAGAACCCGAAGGCGATCCCGAATCTCCGTATGCTCGTTGATTCGTTCACCCTCCGCCGCGTCAAGGATCGTATCAATCTCCCCCCTCGACATGACAAGGTCATCACGTTGACATTTTCAGAGCAAGAAAAGATGCTGCATGAATTCTTCAGGAAGGAGTCCAACGTAATGATAAATGTAATTGCTGGCGAGAGCAAAGAAAAGATGCGAGGGAAAATGTATCATCTAGTTTTAAAGGCAATGATGGTTCTTAGGCAAATCAGTGCCCATGGCAAAGAACTCCTCGATCAGCAAGACCGGGACAGGTTTAAAGGGTTAAGCGCCACTGATGCCATTGACTTGGAACAATCAGCTGACGAGGAATCTTTAAGCGCCATGGAGAAGAAGGCATATGAAATGCTGACACTGATGAAAGAATCAGCAGCAGATGTATGTGCAAGATGCGGCAATACCATCACTCTCCAATTCCCAGAAGATCGCCTGAGCGATAAAGATCCACTCATGGCAGCCATGCTCCCGTGCTATGATATCATTTGCGCAGACTGCTTCCCTCCTATTCAACAAGTTTTCGACGAGAACGCAGGCAAACAGTCCCAACTTAGCTGCACATTCTGCAAAGGCCTCATCCCTGTAACTTATACAGCCATTACGCGTCGGGGCTATGAGAAATTCCAAGAATCCCAACTCTCCAAGAGACAGGGTCCGAAACAAGCCAAGAAATTCGGCCAGTATGAAGGGCCACACACAAAAACCAAAGCGCTCATTTCTCACCTCCTCGATACCATCGAAGAGAGCAAGAAAGCCCCCGACGAAGCCCCAATCAAAAGTATCGTGTTCTCTTCCTGGACGTCACATCTTGACCTGATCGAGATTGCCATGGAAGATAACGGAATCACAACATTCACTCGTCTTGACGGCACCATGACTCTCAAACAACGCAACGCCGCCATCGACGCATTTCGAGAAGACGACAATGTCACCATCCTACTTGCCACACTGGGCGCAGGTGGTGTCGGCCTAAATCTAACGGCAGGATCCAGAGTGTACATCATGGAGCCGCAATATAACCCAGCAGCGATTGCGCAAGCTGTGGACCGGGTCCATCGCCTGGGTCAGACGCGGGAAGTTACGACGATCCAGTTCATTATGAAGGATAGCATCGAGGAGAAGATTGCGGAGCTGGCTATGAAGAAGCAGCAGATGGCGGATATGAGCTTGAATCGTGGCAAGTTGGATAGGAGGGAGTTGCAGCAGGAGAGGATGAAGGAGTATCGGAATCTGTTTACATGAAAGTGAAAGCTTGCCCCTCGCTCTTGAGCTTTTGCTTCGGGTGGCATTCAACCGGATTTCAGTAAACCCCATCACGACTGATGACTCATGACTTAACGTCGTGTCGTGCGCACGCAGTTGTTCACGATCACACATTTGACACATATCAATTGCATCAGTTTTTCACATTACCTTGAGAAAAACATATCCCTTTCCGGTGCATAAATACGGGACCGCACTTCGGATTTCTACAGAAAATAGATACCAGATGGCTATGCTAGGTTGGTTATTGGCGGCAATTCAATGGCGTCTTCTGAACTTCACTGACAAAAATTTTCTTCTTCCCCCCTTTTCCCTTTCCCCTTCCTTTTTCATTTATTTTATCCAATCTACTTTCTTTCAGCCCAGCTTCACGAGCAGCATATACCCTGAATACTCTCTGTTTCTTCTCATCATTTTATTTTCCCTGCCTAATGCCTCTGTCCCTTTGTGTACCAGCTTTGTCTTAGTTTGCTGCCGCCTTATTTTGCGTCCTGCTTATTCAACCAATTATTTACTGGAATTTCGCAGTTTCTCGCATCGCTTATGGCCAATTGATCCTGTGCATATGCTTGCGGATTTTCTTTTGCTTCTTGCTGCGTCACACCCTTTTTACTAAAGTTCATAGTAGAATCTGGCTGCTGGCCTTGAAGAGATAGATCACTGAATATCTGAAACAAAATGAGATATTTTCCAATTCCGAATGTGTTCGGCTTTTTACGTATCCGATATTTCTGATTTTAGTATGTGTCTCATGGAATGAGTAGTGGAAGTGAATGCAAGACATAAATAGACAAGTAGAAAGAAAAGAAGGGTCGGTAGAAACAATGATGGTTCTGAATGTTTAGATTAACCCATTTTTTTGTTTATCATAGATATGACGACGAAAATGCCATTTATTTCACAGGCTAAACTCGTGGTCTCCAGCCTCGAAGACATCCACGCAGGGTCATGCTTCAAATGTTTAAAAAAAAAAAAAAAATAAATAAATAAATAAAAATAAAGAGAGCCAACTTATCATCCACAGAATATAACGATGTACCAGACACCATACATTCAACGCCATCAACATCGCTTTAATATAACTAGTAAAACATCTCCCACCCCAAAAGGAAGTAAAAAGATCCCTCTCCTCTTTCTCCGAAAACCAAACAAAAATCCCTCGCTCCTAGAACAATACGCCATTTCACCCCGTCCCTTCCACGGCCTCCAACAACTCATCAACTCTCTCTCCCAACTTCCTCATCTGCTTCCTCTTCTCCCTCCTCTCCGCCTCCACAACCCGTAATTCCTCCGCCAACCGCCTAATCCTCTCTTCCTGCTCCGCTTCGCTACTCCCTACCCCCGGCAAAACGCTGATGAGGTACTCAATCTGCTGTTCCTTGATAATCAGGTCACGAGCTAGCTCGCGCTGCCGCAGGGCAAAGATCTCGGGGGGGTCGGGGGTAGGTTCTGCTGGCGACGGTTCTTGTTGCTGGGCTTGTGCATCTGCGGCAGCGGGGGTTGTGGGTTGCGGGGAGGCGGCTTTTGTGGTGGTGGATGTGGTAGCGGTGGGGGAAGGGTTTTTTGGGATTTTTTTCAGTTGTGGAATTGCGGTTGGGATGTTGGAGGGCGGGGTTGCTGGGGCGTGATCGTGGTAGGTTGTTAGGTAGCAGAGGGTCGCGTAGAATTGGGTTGCGAGCTGGATGCAAGCGTGGGGTTGGTTGTTTGTTAGCTAGGCGGGCCTCCGGCTTTTTGTTTTTGGTTTCCTCAATTCGTCTTTATATGGAGAAGAGGGATGATTGTGTATACCTGGTCCAAACATGTTTGAAGTTGTGTGAGGATGTCCGCCATGGCAAGCGGTGGTGGGCGGCGGAGGTGTGGAGCGAGGAGGGAGGGGTTCCCTGGTTAGTGGCAGAGGATGGCTGGGAGCTATTTCACTGAGAGATGAAGGCGAGATTAAAGAAATACAATACTATTAAATGATCTTTGAGGGTGAAAGCCGTTGTTGGAGTATGGAGCACAAGCGGTGACATTGAGAAATGCGATATGTATGTATTCAAGAGACGAACGACGCTGGGGTTGAAGCTGTGAGCTCCGGCTTGGCAAACGGTCTCCTTCAATCACCGCGAAGACAACATGGAAACAGAACAAACCTCCCCAAATCATTGACACCGTTAACCAATTCAATGATACACATGCAACCACTTCACTTGCCTTCTCGCCTATCTGTCCACACTCTTCTACAATGTGCCTACCGGCCCTTCTCCAACGATCCCGCCCCGCCAATTCCTCCCGTCTCCCCGACCTCCCAACATCATGACCTCCCTTCATTCCTGGACTACGCTGCTCGAACTTCTCTTGACCGGACAAGTACCACGTACATCGGTACGCATTACGAGTATACCGTTCTTCAAACCCTCCGCCGCTGGGCTCTCGATCTAACCCGCATAGGCGGCCGGATGGACTCTGGGATAGATCTGGTGGGCACCTGGCATTTGCCGGACTCAAACTCACAACCGCTACGCGTCATCGTGCAATGCAAAGCTTCGAAAAACAAAGTAGGCCCGAACATAGTACGAGAACTAGAGGGGACTTTTGCCGGAGCACCGGTGGGATGGCGTGGCCAGGGAATACTGGGTATGCTTGTTAGCTCAAGGGAGTCTACCAAGGGCCTGCGGACTGCGCTGTTGAAGAGTAGATATCCGCTGGTATGGATTTTCGCGGAACTAGACGGCCGTGTGCGGCAGATTTTGTGGAATAAACAGGCGAGTGATGCAGGTTTGGAGGCGTTAGGAGCTGAAGTTCAGCATTTTGAGGATGGCGAGGACAAGACCGTGTCTTTAACCTGGAATGGAGAGGCAATTAAGGGTTTCTGAGAATTGCGTGGATGAGTGCCGGCTGCTTTACTGCGATACGGATGTGCTCAATTATCGCTGATTTCCGGCTATTTCCATGGAATCCTCCATCGATGGTTTACAATGAAACCCAGTGGTTACAAACGTGGTGGTACATGGCAGCTTTCCCATGTGTGTCATTGAAACCGTCGAAGTTTAGGATTCACGCATTTGTTACCATCGCAGATCAGGTCCCGGAAATTATATGAATGCTTCCAGCAGGGATCATAAAGGAACTCTGGGAAGATACAATTTTAGAAAACCATCTGGGGGGCGAGGAGAGGCATCGCTATTGCCGTATGGAGGGCATGGCTACCTCCTGGTTACGTATGAGCACAACAGATAGCTCCACGAGAAGGAGAGTATTTAAAATCTATCCTGACAACCTGGATTGGCATAGAGACGTTATCTACAAGATCACTGGCACCCAATTCGTGACAACGGTATCCAATTTAATCCAGTGTACTGTACAATGGCCATCTATCAAGGTGAGCCTAGATATAGATCTAGCAACTCTACAACCACCATAAACAATAGTATAATATTGAGGCCCAAAGTGAGCTGCATACAAAGCCAGCGCCGCATTTCTCACTGCTCATAGCTGGCCACACGGTATGCATTTATACATATGCAAATATAATAATCACTATTTGACAAGGGTTATAGCTAACTATTCATTCTCTCACGTTTCCAAGATGAGGCTTCTCTACCCATATAGTATGTAAATCGTTCATGGCTGATCCGCAGTTCAAGGATTTGCCTGAACATGTGAGTACATTTTCCTGGGCTGGGTACTCAATATGTAACTTAGTGATTTGTCTGATTGGTTGTTTTGATTCCATTATTCAAAAAATTATTTAGGTTGCATTTTTGCTTCGGCTGAATTCAGAGGTGGAAAGATTTTAGTCTTCCTATCCTTCATTTTCCCATTTGTATTCGTCTATACACACCGGAATCCAAGCTTCGGGATTTTAATCCATGGCCCACCCGTCCACAATCCACAGGGAGAGCCCCCCCCCCCCCCCACCCTGGAAAATCTCTCATATCTCGACGCAGTGTAAAGAGGGGTCATAGTCAGGTGCTCGCTCAGCGCTTTTCCTAAAATAGGGGGGGGGAAAACCCCCCCAAATTGCCGCGCCCCCCAAAGAATTAAACAATTCCCCCCTTTTTCATAAAAAAAAAAA